CTAATTTTATGTAATCCATGATTGAATTTTTTGAAAATTTGTGATTTTTTTTTTTAATCCATGATCGAATTTTTTTTTGTAATCCATGATAGAATTTTTTGAAAATTTGTGATTTGTTTTTTAATCCATGATTGATTTTTTTGAAAATTTGTTATTTTTTTTTTTAATCCATATTATTCAAAGAGAAAACGAGAGAGATGATGATTCTGAGGCCACCCTATCCTAGCCATATTATTCACATATCGAGTCCCAACAGCAACAGTGTAGGGATGAGCACGAAATACTGTAAATTAAATGCTGAATGGCGGTTCATGCAGGGAAAGAACATATCAATATTCGCATATTCATTCAAAAACATGAAAATTCTCAATGGAGTACCCTCATTTTTTATTGAATTCCTAAAAAACAATATTTATAATGAATTTTAATAATTTTTTCGAATTTTTTTTAAGCTTTATTCTTACCGATTCACCCGATTCCCGATCCGGATCTCCGATTCGCAGATCCGGATAGGTTTTTTGGAAACCAGATCCGGACCACCGATCCGTTTTTTAAACCATTGTGTACAATCATTACACAAAGGACACAGTTTTCATGTGGCCAGGCCGCATAATGAACAAATGTGGGGCCGATAATAAATATGTGTTTTAAGTATAATTTAATTTTAAATTTTAAAAAATATATAATTTTTAACATGGAGATCGTGAATATAAAAATAAAAAAAAATTAAAAATTAAAAATAATAATTATATTAAAAAAGGTTAATAATTTTACGGGGCTCTTTTACACTCATGTGTGTATGACTCTCAAAAATCACCATTAAATTTAATATAAATTTTTTAAAAAATTATTATATAAGTGTAAAATTTAATTTTTTTAAAGATGCGCGTCAAATTTAATGTTGATCGATTAGTCCTCAACCCTGTCTATACCATCATTTCTCATTAAAAAAACATAATTAATAAAACATTTGTACTGCTCGTCGTATGTATTTTTAGATGTACTACCTATTTGCATCTATGCCTCTCGACCGCGTATGGTAGAAATTCGATCCAGCCCGCATGAAACAATTTTTAACTTCCCTTCCAGTTATATGACTCTCACACACAGCTTCTGGAAATCATGCTGCTCGGTTGAAATTTTAGGAGGGAAGGATCAGCGGATAACCTCAGAACAGCGAGGGAGAGGAAAACTTTTTGAAACCAAGTAGAGACAGGAAAAAGTTTTGAAAAATAAGTGGTGCACTTGGATTGATTTTATCATTTTCGCAAATTGATATCTTCATTTATACGCTCATATCTGAACGGTGATGGTAGAAGAAGATAAATGGAGTGTGTTGTGCAGGGCATTATAGAGGCGCAGGTGAAGTCCCCAACAATTTTCCGGGCTATAATCCTTCGGGCTCTACAATGGTTTCTTCTTTTCAACAAATTACTTTTTATGTTTTCTTCATCTCTCTCTCTCTCTCTCTCTCTCTCTCTCTCTCCTTGAGTGGAGATTGGGGGTGGGCAGTCATGCTCATTATACTGTGGTACTATTTTTCCTTTTGCATTTGTCTGTGATGATTTGATGAATTCCATGTGATAATATTATTTTCCCCTTTCTTTCTTATTATGTTTATCTATTGGATATTCTCTTCTATATCTGCATGTTTGGATTGCCATCAACATTTATTTCATCCATGTAGAATAGTTGAGGTCAGTGCAGGTTTTCTCTCTCTAAAATTGAAGCACTTATATGTACTTAATGGATACTGGATGTGCAATTGGGAGGGATTGGTGTATAAGGTGCCCACCCTGTACTATCCAAGTAAGGCTTAGCTGCCAGAGATCTAGTTCTGGTGTCGGAAACCTCATGATGGCTTATATATTCATGTTCAACTTTAATCGTGAAATTTAAAATCCTAAAAACAATGCAAATCAGATCTATAAACATTTGAAATTTTAAAAATATATGGTCCATATAACTTGTTTCAAGATGCATTGTTTTTAGGATTTGAATTTTTTTTCTTTATATTCATACATCTTGAGGTCAAGACAATTAATTCGAAGGTTAACAACTTCGGAATACTCTTTTCTATTGGATTTTTGAGGTGCACCTTACTTCTATAGTATAATTCATACTTTGAATGCCACAAATTCACCTTGAAATTTATTACATGATCGAAAATTGAACTTGGACAAGTTTAGCATAGATGAGGATGTTGAGTGGCAAGACAAGAAATTATAGAATTCAGAATGAATACATACGAGGAAACTTAGGGTGGCTCCAATAAACGATAAGATGAGGAAAAATAGACTTAGGTGGGCTGACCATATACAACATTGACTGAATGCAACACCAGTTAAAAGCAGCAATTCGGTTCAACTAGAAGATTATAAAAGGGGAAAGGGAAGGCCCAAAAGGACATGGATGAAAATAATGAGAAGAGATATGGTGACTTATGGTCTAACTGGGGGTATGGCCCTTGATAGAGCAGAATGGCAGAACATGCTTTGTATAGCCGACCCCAAGTAGTTGGCAAAGGCTCGGATGATGATGATGATGATGGTTCAAAATTGAACTTGGACTACAAAGGAAGTGGAAGGAAGGATCTAATTTTTAGTAATTTGTTTTTCCACAATAACCAATGGAAAGGTGAGGTGAAAGAGGAACTCCTTCATGAATACATTTGATTTTATTAAAAAATTGAGGTGCAAACCACTTGTTGTCTAGGACTAAGTCAACAAAAACGAAATGCAAAATCGAGGAAAACAAAATGACATGGTACTCCACTTGACAGTTGGCACAATAAAAAAGGTCTAACTTGTGGAATGTGGCTTGTTGGAATTTGCTTAAGAAGGAACTGATTCATGCTCAAGGAGAAACAATCTACATTGATTTCCCTCAAGCCTGACTACTTGAGATCGTGCAAGTCATCAACCCGTAGTTCTTTCTCAAATGCTTTGTATTAGCCTCTGAATTATTGGTAAACATTTTCAAAACCAAAAGTCTAGGTATTGACATCAGTGGAACTGTGGTGGCCATGCTAGCAGCTAGGATGGGGTACGAGGCAGACACTCTTCCAAACAGATATTTGGCATTGGCTCTTTGCATTGGCAAGCTGAAGAAAAATCATTGGGATCATGTGGTTGAGCGATTCGAAAGGAGGCTACCAACCAAGAAGAGCAGTACTTATCTTTGGGTGGTCAGATAACGCTAATCAAGGCTACCTAATCAAACCTTCTGGACCACATGATGTATCTTGTCAAAATACCAGTGAGTTTAGCCAATACAATTGAGAGGTTGGAATGAGATTTCCTTTAGGGAGAGGATGAAGATCGGCAGAGATTTCATTTGGTTAATTGGGGTATCATCAATCTTTCAAAGAAATAGGGGGGCTTTGGGCATTTGAAAATCAAGCGCGGAAAATGACACAATTTGAACTAAATGGAGGTGCCAATGTACAGAAGATGACAACAACCTATGGAAACACGTTGCATTCTCCAAATACGGCAGTGATCAATTAGATGGATAGTGAACAGCACTGTCTGTCGCTGTCATGAGTCTGGGGGATGAAGAGGGATCAAGTTTAAGTAGACTTCTATTGGGGAATAGTGAATGCATAAACTTTTAAAAAGATACTTGGCTAGGCCCCCAATCACTTGAAGAAGGTTTCCTCATGCTAGCAATTACAGCAATAGACAAAGAATGCTTAGTTTGAGAAGTGTTTGAGAAAAACAATGAACAACTATTTGGAACCAAGATTAGGAACATATCTCACTAAAGGGGAAATTGAGGGATTGACAGGCTATTAAGAGAACTTGACATGGTATTTATGCAACAAAAGGCTCTATTGGGGTCTTTTCTCAGTCAAGTCCTTCTATCACATACTCAGCCAATCCAAACCTCCCATATGGAGAAAGGTTGGGGAGATACCTGCACCTCCGAATACTAAGGCCTTTGGATGGCTTGTAAGGAAACAAAGGACAGGAATTCCACTGCCAAATGGATGCATTCTATGTAAAGAATATGCTGAATGAGCCTCTCACCTTTTGCTTCACTGCAGATTCAGTATCTCGATATCGAATTTCTTCCTCAATGCCTTTTAGTTGGGTCATCCCTGATTCTTTAACTGGGGTGTTTACGCGGTGTTTCCCCCTGCCTATGCCAAAACCAGGCCTGAATCCTTGAAGATGGGACTTGTTAGATGCCTAATGGGGTATGCGGTTGAAATGTAATAGCTGCAATTTGATGGAATTTTATCAAATGCTTCAACCCTTTTCAATAGAATAAGGGCAATTACAACATCAGACCTCCCATTATAATAGAGTTTTGGAGGTGTGACAGCCATTGGAAGCTCATTGCTTGGAGTGCAATTGTGAGGAGTTCACCACCACTAGAAGCCATCAAGATCACCACTAGAAGCCATCAAGTTGAACTTTGATGGTTGCTTAATGGGCAATCCTGACCATCAGGCACTGGTGGTGGTATTTCTTGACAGAAATGGAAGAGAGCTGCTGTATTGTTTAGCGCCAATTGGCAACAAAGGCTCGCTAGAGGTGGAAGCCACTGCTTTATTTCATGGACTATGCTTATTTGACTCAAGCAGGGGCCCCAATTGATGGAAGGCCACTCTGCCAACACCATCTGATGGGCGCAGGCTGGGGAATGCTCTCATGGAGGGTAGATGGAATCTTCTCTGAAGTTTTAGAGAACATGTCAAGAGTAACAGTAGCCGACCCTAAATAGGTGGGATATGGCTTAGATGATGATGATGATGTTAAGAGTAACAGTCTCATCCAATCATACACTGCAGAAATCTAATGATCAAGCCAACTGTCTAGCCAAAGGAGTCTGGGAACAGGCCCTATTGATTGTTAGAGATGAACGACATACTTCCTCGCCATGTGTATAAAGTTTTCTAGTTATCCCTCATTTGAGTCTATGCAGTCATGCATGCTAAATTTTGCTTTATTAACTCTTATTCCATTTTTGTTAACACTCTTAGTATGTACACAGTTTTTGTACATCTTTATACAATCATTGGACAAAACAATCAACGATCAAGGAAAAAAAGGAGAAAATTCCATTTCAAGTCTGCACACCTTTGACGAAACTACCTTTGAGATAAAGAATATAAAACTCAGCATTACTGAGGAACTTAGTGGAGTTTGTAGAGTATCTGGACATCTCTAATCTCAAATCTCTAGTTCGAGTTTTAGTTTGTTTGTGCTAGCAATGGTGTTTTTTCCAATATTCTTTGAAGTGACATTTTCCAATTCTCATATTTCAATGGTAATAGAGCCTGACTGTAGAACCTCAGATTTTGATTTAAAATCACTATGAAACTTTCGTAATATTTGGTATGGAGCTATTGGCTTATTGGTTTGGGCATTATGGCCACATTTAATGTCTCAGATTTGAATCCAACTAAAAAATTCTTTCCTCCCTGCAAAAAAGGAATGTATGAATTTAGATGGGGGAAACTTTTTGAACTCATTGCTGCTGGAAGTCGACAACATGGGATTTTGAACTGGCAAATGGTGCAGCGTATGCTATCCTATAATGCTCCACTATGAATTCCTTTTTGTGTAAGATTCGATTCTTGAGGTTGGAATTGATATGATAATTTCCATGAATTAGTGGTAAATGGTTGAGTAATAATTATATGTTTGAGTAATGGTCTAATCAAATTCTTTAAAATTGGATCATCCATAACAATCAAAGTTCTCTATTTTGTGTTGTTTTATCCTTTAAAATTTGTTATTTATGCCACATGAGCTCCATTAGATTTCAAAACATTTCTTCTAATGATCTAAATGAATTTTCGTGAGTTTCTTTTACGACCCCAACCATAATTAAGAGTTTGGTAATATTTGTGGACCCTTCTCATTATTAGACTTCTAGAAGCTTTTTCTATTGAGAGGGCTTTTTATGTGTCTCCACACATAAATTTTATGTGTTTAGAGACAACCAATCATCTGATATTAATTAAATTGTTGAGAATGAGCTGACAACAATAGCATGCATTAATTATGGCCTAACAAACACAAGTTGCGCCAGCCTATGCTATTGTGTTTGGCTCACTTCCCACCGTCCATTTAAGATTGGATGGTTGTGGTTTCCAGACACGTATGAAATGTATGTATGTGTAGACACATACAAAGATCTCCCTTTTCTATAATATTATGATTTGATAGATCATGGTAATTTTTCGATTCCACATTTCTTTTCTTGATACATCAGTCATGTAGTACCATGGTCCTTAAAACCACAATAGCTATTATTTTTTTCTAGATTTTCCTTTGGCAAATGTTCTAAGTTGTACATACTGTTACATTAGCACGTTGCATGTTCCTTGGTATCATGTGTTGACACAC